GTATTTTTTTTGTGGGGGGGGGGAGAGGCCCGCCCTCCCCTAGAGACGCCACTGATGATAGGGGAGAAAAATTTAGTTGAATTCTGCAAAAGGAGGAGTGAAGGAGGAGAACAGCCGGAAGAAGCCAGGAGACACTGGGAGAGGTACCAGATTGATTTTATCCTATTCAGAAATAGTGTTAAGATCAGCAAAGCATGCCCAGGAGCAGATGCTATTTCGGATCTTAACTTACTTGCGATGAACATGATCATGATCAGGCTCATGAAGATTAAAGGGGAAAAAACCCAAAAATGGAATCTAGAAAAACCTTGCAGTGAAATATCTTAATAAATTTCAGAAAGAGATTACAGAGAAGGTGGGACCATTGACGTATGGAAATAAAGAGAATGGGGTCGAACGACCGTTGGAATACACTACAAAATATCATCCATAACAGTGCTAAAAACAACATCGGTTACCAAAAAATGTAAAACACCAAGAAAAGCTTGGATGTCACGAAATTACAAATATAGTGCAGATAACCAAAATACAGAAATCTGCATGTTTTAATAGTCTTAGCTACCGTATTGGCTATATAATTTTAACCAGGTCTCAGGTTATGGAATGACAAACGTTTCAATGTCAAACTACATAAAACAATGAACAATATATAATATTTATTTACACTAATTTATGTTTATATTTTAAATATATTTGTATAAAAACTTGCTTTTTTACTCGTTTTGTGTGTGTCGATCATAGGTTAGGAAATTTGTATTTTGATTGACATTTTTTTAAATATTATATCATTGTTTATGTAGGCTTATTTATTTATTAAGCTTCATGTATAAATCTTTCAAACAGTAGTTTTAAATTATTCAAATGTCGACAACACAATACTTCACCTGTACAAATCAATAAGTTTTGGTCTGTTGAACACAATGTTTGATTCGAGAATTAGTTTCCGAAAATTCAACCTCCATAATGTTCAATGTCCACTTATAAGGCTCGTAGATTTCTATCATTGACGAGAAAATGCATTGCAAATTAAGCAACAAAGATGGAAATCAACAGCTCTAAAATAGTTGTAGGAGTAAGATCCGGTAGTCAAATTAGAGCTACAATAATTAAATCACTACAAAACTGTTTAAATCACTACAAAACGTTAAATAACCTTAATAATAGACCAGTGTACGGCAAAAAAAAGTCATAGCGTCATTAAGTTTATCCTTCGTTTGTTTGATAGTGGAGTGAACCAAAACAAGATATCTAGAACTAAAATTGCGTCAATTAAATGAATGGAAACAAATTTTCTCTAAGAATAACTATTAATTCTTGCGGTCCCTATGGAAACCTAACCAGTTATTATTGATTTTATATACCTTAAGTTACTAGGTCGATCTTTGTCGGCTTATAATGAATGTCTTCTAGGTTTTACCATCAATGAGCACCTTTAACTCACCAGGAGAGAAGACGGTCTCATTTCGTAAAGAGTCAACGTATGTAGTAGCTGGTCTCCTCCCTCTACCGCGCTTCACATGTCAAGGTTCCTAGAACAACACATCCCTGATTATTTCTTCTTTGGCTCGGTGACAGTGTCCAGCAAATCTCAATCTCCGATCACTAATGACCGAGGTTATTTTAGGAAGTTCTCCATAGAGCTGCCTGTTTATATGCTGTCTCCAGCTAATGTTGAGAGCATGATGTAGAAAACGTGTATAACATCCGACTAGACGTTTTTCCAGAGTTTTATTTAATGTCCATGATTCTGCGCCATAGAGGAGGACATGTGTTTCCACAGTTGCTTTGAAGAACTTAATCTGTAGTGATCTTGATAGGCTAGATTTCCAGATTTTGACCAGCTTGTTGGCTGCCGTCCATGCACAACCTTGGCGTACTTCGACGTCCTTGGCAGTAGTTGCAATGCACAGTAATTGCGCAGAATTTGACCATAGAGAAGTAAGTGACCCAGTGGTATTAAATGCCATGTATTCAGTTTTTCAAGCATTCATATGGAGGCCAACAGTAGAAGTTGCTTTCCTCTATCCGAGTAAGAAAGAGTTGAGCATCAGCAAAGCTGTAGGTAGTAAGCACAGATCATCTGCATAGCCAGTATCTGTGATGGTATTCTCCAGGAGGTGGTGCTTTTTTGTGTTTTGTTGGTGGTGAACCCAAGTTGTCCATTTTCAATGAGCGTAATCCTCATATAGTGAAACTATGGTAAAAAGAAATGGGGCAAGGGTATCTCCTTGTTGAACTCTAGAGGTGATGTCGAAAATAGAGGATTCACCATCGGGTGATATCACTTTGGCCAGAACTGCAGTTAAATTCTTTGATTTGATAATGATTCCTTTGGACTGCAAAAGTATGCGTGATATAGATCTGTCAAACTTGCTGGAACTTATAAGTTCCATCATTTATACGGACCAACGTAATCTTTTATGAAGAAGAGTTTTTGCCGTTATATAGGCGACACATATATAACAAATGTGGATTAGTCATTGCAAATTTGAATATATGTAGTATTACACATAAATTTGAAGAATTACAACACATTTTAAATCAAAACAATATTGATGTTATAGGACTATGTGAAACCTTTCTCAATAGTACTATAACCAACCAAGAAATTAATATAGATGATTATTCTTTATATCGGAAAGACCGATGTAAATCGTCCAAACATAAAACGGATAGAAGAGGAGGTGTGGCCTTCTATACATCAAATAATATTAACCACAAAATTCGAAATGATCTTATGCCAGATCATTTAGAACTAATCACTATTGAATTAAAAAGGGAAAATTGTAAACCATTAATCATTGTGCTATGGTATAGGCAGCCAGGGACATCGGTTGACCTATTTTTTTACGTAAATGAGATTATTTCTAAAATTGAACATGAAGGTACAGAGTATATACTAAATGGGGATTAAAATTGTGATATAATGTCAACGAATCCCAGTTGTTACACAAACCAACTAAATGAGTGCATTGATGAAGGTAAGATGGTAGGATTATGCCTTTTAGATTTCAAAAAAGCATTCGACACTGTGAATCATAATATTCTTTTACAAAAATTAAAATTGTACGGCATTGGCAAATTCGCAATAAACTGGCTTAAAAGCTATTTATCTGAACGAACTCAAATTACTGAAATTAACAATAAAAAATCGAAACCTAACTTTATAAAATGTGGTGTACCACAAGGATCAATTATTGGCCCCCTTGCGTTTCTCATTTATATAAACGACCTTCCCAATAAAATAAATAAATGCGAAATTAGCATGTATGCAAATGATACTATAATATATTACGGTACGCAGCGAAAAATGAAAATGAAATAATTGAAACAATAAACCAAGATCTTGAACATATATTTTGTTGGTTAAAATCGAACAAATTAAGTCTAAACATATCAAAATCACAGTTCATGATACTTGGCTCAAGGCAAAGGCTTACAAGTAACAGTAATACAAGTTCAACAGTTTAGATAAATGGCGATCCCGTTCCAAGAGTACAGAGTGCAAAGCATCTAGGAGTAATAATTGATGAAAATCTTACATGGGACTGTCATGTTAATCATATTAGAGAAAAGGCCCTAAAAGGCCTATGTATGTTAAGACGATGCCGTAATATGTTCCCAAGAAATGTACTAATCAACATTTCTAATTCATTAATCATTTCTCACTTAACATACTGTATTTTGGTTTGGGGAAATTGTGGAAATACCTTGATGAAAAAGTTACAAACAATTCAAAACAGGGCAGCTCGGATTGCATGTAACCTAAATTGGGATGAATCCAGTCAACTAGCATTAAACTCAGCAAATTGGATATCATTAACTAAAAGAAATGAACTGGAACACTTACTTCTTGTATTGAATATTCTAAAAGATCGCGTACCACTTTATTTATCACATTTAATACAGTACAACACACCTAATTATAATTTTCGACATGGTAACCTTAATATGTACGTTCCAAAACCGAATACTGAATACAAAAGAAACAGGATATCTTACAAGGGCCCTGTTTTGTGGAATAATTTAAACAGAGATGAAATAAATCCCTCTATGTCATTTAATCAATTCAAAAGAAAAGTCAAAGAAAAGCTAATTAATACTAGGCCTTAATTAATGTCTAGTCTCATGCAATCATTATAATAATGCAATTTACTACTATTCAATTCTAACATGCGTTTTTTTTGGTTTTTTTTTGGTTGCAATTTTTAAGACAACAAACTTTAAAACTTTAAACCTAATTAATTTAGGCAAAACTTTTAACTTTATGCTTGCTTTTATATTATTCTTATCACGCTCGAACTTGTTGAAAAACGATCTGTTTTTAATATTTTATTGATCGAACAAGTCTTTTGTAATGTTTTATTGTGCTTTATATAATTGTTTATATATATGTTACTGTACTTGCAATTTCGAGAATAAATAAAGTTTTTGATTGATTGATTGATTGATTGATTGACACGACATTTTTCAAAGCGCGTTAAGAAACCTGACAAAGGATAGGAACTTGCACCGACTGTTTTCGTATTTGCCAAAACACATATAGTGTTTCAATAGAAGCTATAATAATATCGGTGTCAATTCAATTAAAAATAGGCAAGTATACCTATTCTATAACATGCTCCATCAAAATCCACTGGAGCACAGTAATAATACATAGTGTAAAAAAGAGTATAGCTATCATATATTATCACTGTGCTCCAGTGGTTCTAAATTGGGACCACTGGAGCACTGTATAGGCCTAAATATGTGTCCCTCAATAGTGTATCACACGCCCCACCTTCTCTCAAAAAAGTACCCCAGTCTCTTAAGTCCCATTGAAAATGAAAACAAAATCCGCCAATGATCCCTATTCTATGGTTCCAAATTGGTTAAATGGAGCAGTGATTAAAATATTCATATATAGACAGTATCCGTATAACAGCTGTGCTCCAGTAGTGTCTCCAAATTGGCGCTCCATACAGTACAATTCCGAATCTCATCATCCTCGAGCCTTGAAGACAATGCGATGGTAAGTTCAAAACTCATTAACTGAGATTTATTGACATATATGTAAAGACAAATAGGAATATGAGTAACATTACTATGTAAAGTCGAAGTCCAAGCTAGCATTATATTTATATTTTTAGGCATACATAGGGCCTAGAGCGAAGGCAGCATAGGACTAGGCCCATGCCTAGGCTAGGCAAACCGCTGAGATTTTTCTTACGGGCTGCGGACCTGTCCGATCTGCTGTAGGCCTAGGCTAGGTTTAACGCTAGGCCTAAGCCTAAGGTAAATCTATCTATGGATATTCTAGGCACTTTGGTCAGTCTTAACTTACTGTATAATAAAGGGTGACTGGCCACTGAATTGTAGGCTCTATAACCTAGAGAGAGGAGTAGAGCATTGTTACACCAGTTTTAAAGGAATAGACCAAATTAGCGATTGATGCTGTTCAGCAATTAGGCCTAGTGGGTATTCGAACCAAAACAAACGCACGAAGATAGGTGATTTGCACAGTAATTTAAGAAAATAGCCTTTGCTAAAACGTCTCATACACGCTTTGGCTTTGTGTGTAAAGTTGAGCGTGATTTAAATTTTTATTAAATAACAAACCATTGTTACATGTTTATGAATGTAACGTCATCTTTTCTCTACGATTGTGTATGCCAAATGTGAAATATAACGAGCATAAATCATACTATTTTGGGAATAAAACGTACATTGGTCATGTCTGCCTGTGTTACAGCACGACGACGGCAGCCATGTATTCACTCACAGTGAATCATGGCGTCGGTCGATGAATGTGCTTGTTGCAAAACTCATGAAATGTGTTGTACATGCACTGATTTCAAGGAGAGCTAAGTTATTCAAAATTATTGAATAATGTTCCTAAATTCACACCGATAACTTTGGCAGATTGGATGTCTAAACAAAAGAAACTGATGGGAAATCGTGGTGATTTTACAAGGAAAAGTATGTGCATAATGGGGCGATAGCCCATTTAGCAAGTGGTAGGCCTAGTCAAGATGACCAGGGAACAGCCTATTACACTATATTGATATAACTTACAGATTTACTCAGATTAATCTAACAAAACAGATTGGGTTTTCATATAAAACAAAATGGCTTTGACGACAGCACGGAGCTGAACGTTTACAAGTAAGGCCTCACTCAATCATCACATCCCGCCATGTCGCGTTGTCGTGCAACAAGTGTCAGGGGCCGAGGCCTAGCCTGAAAAAACTCTACGTATATATATTTAACTTAATTTTACATGAAAATCAAATCAAACATCTTCTGATGGTTCTATGAACCTTCCTTAACCTACCAATGTTTTAAAAAGTATCTTATTTTGTGACCTAGCTTTAATTGGTTTTTTTGCTTGTTTTCCTGCACCATACAAAAACTCGCAATGTTATAGAATAGGACTTTTAGGCTTTGTTTACAATTTTATACCCACTCAGCCAAATTGTGATGACGTCATCTTTCGTCGCTAATTCGGTCTATTGTATTGACATTCATGAATTTTATTTTCACTTCTGCAAGGCTAGAACCGAAACTTTGTTTTTTTACTACTCAGATTTCATGAAAGGAATTAATTCAATACATTAAGCATGCATTATATTATATATTATTAATGAATTGTTACTGAAATTTTTTAAATAAATGAATGTAGTACATGGATAATACTCACAATAATTTTATTCATTTACTGTATTTATTCAACCAAAATTTACATGGTTAATAATAGAGTGGGGATAGAAAAGCGAATCATTCTCTATACAGCCATGGAAAGCTAACTGTACTCTCCCCCCCCCCCCCTGAAAAAAAAAACACCCTAAAAAGAACAAAATACAAGAAAGCTTAAAAATAGTTAAATTAATTATCTATGATTATGAGCTAGTTATATTGTCATCACCAAAGCTTATACTTTTTATAGTGTATACTGCGTAGTAATTTATTTTTGTTGTTCTTACTTTTAGCCAAAGATTTTCTTGCCTAGTTTTGAAACTGCACAAATCTGACAAACCTACCATTTTGAAGGGAATGCCACTGGGTATGGCCTGGACCCCCATGACAACTTTTGTTTAAAAGATATATTTTGTGATCAAAACCATCCACTGAATATCTGAATTAAAACAATGTCAATGTTTTGAACAGGAATTTTATTTGCAAAGAATTTCATCTTCAAATTTATTTTTCACCTTGTTTGACAAAAAGAAATACCTACTGTATCTTAACGGGATTTATATTTTTCAGAGAGAATGAGTGGTTCCGACACCAAGCCAGGCTTTTTGATTTCTCTTGTGTCTGGGGGGTGTGCTGGCATGTCGGTGGACCTTGCTCTCTTTCCATTAGATACCGTCAAAACACGTCTGCAGAGTACAGATGGCTTTTTGCGATCTGGAGGATTCCGTGGCATTTATTCAGGTCTGTTACCTGTACTCCTTGGATCGGCGCCGACAGCGGGAGTTTTCTTCTGTGCCTATGAACTAAGTAAAGAACTTGGTGCTGGATACATATCCAACTCTTACATGCCGTTTGTTCACATGGGAGCTGCCTCTGTAGGCGAGACAGCTGCTTGTCTTGTACGTAATCCAGTTGAAGTGATCAAGCAGCGTGCTCAGACCAGCCGTCATCGCAGCAGTATTGCCATTTTGGGGAGTACAATAAGAACTGAAGGCTTTAGAGGATTATATAGAGGCTACCTTAGTCTCCTCCTTAGAGAAATTCCATTTTCTTTTATTCAGTTTCCAATATGGGAATTTTTTAAGAGGATATGGTGTGATCGTCAAGGGTGTGCTGTGAGTGCGTGGCAATCAGCAATGTGCGGTGCTACTGCTGGCGGTATTTCAGCCGCAATCACTACTCCTCTTGATGTAGCAAAGACAAGAATAATGCTTGCAAAACAAGGTTCAAAAACTGCTGGTGGAAATATAATTTATGTAATTGGAGACATTTGGCAGACAAATGGAATAAAAGGACTCTTTGCAGGCGTTGTTCCTAGAGTTATGTGGATAACTTTTGGGGGTGCCATTTTCTTTGGTGCCTATGAAAAAGTAAAAATAATTCTAATATCAACGAAGGGCAGGAATTTGTAAACAAAGGATAATATATCATGAAAAACAAAATTGATTCAAAGTTAATAACAGGCACACAGGGAGCTGTGTTTTTTTCAGAGTCTGTACAGTACAAGAAAAACATTTTACCCCAATACCGTAGATAGGGCTTCATATGGTGCATACTGTATCTTAATTCACTACTTGATGAAATGTTGGAGATGGTGTGGAATCTAAGTATAATATTCAATCTCATGTTAATCGTTAAAAAATAATGCTGCACTTGGCCTCTTTTGTTTAATGCTTACTTAGAGTGCAGTTAAAATACTAGGCCTACAGTATGATTGACATTCAGAATCATGTACAACATTCTTGTACTACCTGTAATTATGTACTGTAGGGAAAATAAAGAATTTGGCTTTCCTATTACTTTTGTCACATACATGAGTATTTACTCACATACAACTTCTGATGATTTTTTTTTCAAACCAGTAAATATCAAAACTTATTTTTTATCAAATATTATGAATGTTTTCTGAAGACAAATAAATGAAATGAAATCTGGATATTACTTTTTGTTTGCTGTCAGTTTTGCTTACCACATTATTTTAAATGTGTTATGCATTGATTTCTTTGTTTAGATTAATTTAAAATGATAATTAATTATTTTTGTCTAATAATAACTGATAGTTGATAATGATAATTGATCATGATGAATAATAATGGTGATGATGATGATAATGATGGTACTGTAATGATGATGGTGGTGTTTTAATAAAAATATTAACAGGTCATTCTAATATTAAGCACATAATTCATATTACAACCCACTTTCCTCAACAGGGATAAAAACATCCCTTCCATAGGCAATTGACAAGGGTGGTAATCCTGGAGATGATAAATGCAATCACTCTTTCTGGATAAACATGTGCCGAAGCAAGCAACAACATGCTCTGAATAATTATAACAGACAATGGTTTTACATGCAACATTTAATGAACACTTAAAGTCATGTGTAGTATAAACAAAAAGGAGCCAGACACTAACATGTGCAGTACACTGATTAATACTGTTTAACTAGGCTTTAGTTAAAAACAAAAGTACTTTTGTACGGTTAATAAACAGTGTTTACTAAGTAATGGTTCTAAGATCAAAAAATCCTTTGATGACCAGATTAGAGTGGCCAAACAAATTATTGCCATTGTAATTGTTATTGCTGCAGATTAGTATTGATACTGTATGATTATGATATTAATGAAATAATGATATCAAAATTTAAATGGTGTTTTGGTGAATAAAAATAACATTATAGTAAAAAGCTCATCTGAGGAGTGTCAATTTATTGCAAGGTGAACTGAACATTGTCATTTTGTGATGGCTGACATCAGCCCAAATTGGTACTTAATACTATTATTAATTATGATTGATGAAATTTTTTTCTTTACAGTCTCTGACAATCCATTCAGACCTTGGTGACATCAAAATTGAACTGTTTTGTGAGCAAGTTCCAAAAGCTTGTGAAAATTTCCTGGCATTATCAGCTAGTGGCTTCTACAATGGTTGCATCTTCCATAGGTATGTAAATGCAACTCTTCAGTGCAGCAGCAGTAATATATATGGTACACACCCTGTTAGGCTAGACCCTTTTCCATACCTTGTTTAGCAAACCTGCTGCCTGCGAATAATGATTTCAAATAAAAATAAAGTTATATTTTTGGCCAATTCGTGCACAGGCTACCACAAAAAAAATGGAAATTTCAGAAAAAAATAAATGTTTTTCTTTATTTTTAATACACCTGCCACTGCTTTGAAATCTCCAAAATAAGATGTGTATATATCTTCCTTAGGGTTTGTTCAAAATTATCAACATTTTCACAAGTGTACAAACAGTACTCTTTTTAATACAATCCCATATTACTACACTGTTTACATTCACCAATAAAATGCTATTTTTTCCCCTGCTTGGATGTTTTCGGAAAAACCATTTGTAGACAACAACATTTGCATATCAAACAACTAAAATTTGAAGGTTAATTGTTTTTATATGGCATTTATAGAAACATTAAGGGTTTTATGGTACAGACTGGGGATCCAGGTGGCACAGGCAAGGGAGGCAACAGTATCTGGGGCAGCAAGTTTGAAGATGAATTTGTAGATACAATTAAGGTAAAATATATACAGTAAACTATTTACCATGCATTCATTTCGAAAGTGATAAGATACATTCAAACATTAAATATTTTGATGCAGATGTTTTGCATTCATTCAGTTATAAAGTGATAGGATTAATAATTAACAAACAGTATTTAATTAATTAATTTAATATATTTTTATTTTCTTTATTGACCTGCAACTTAAATACTAAACTTAACTTATGAGGGGTACAAGTGGCAGGGCCAAAAAGGGTATACTTTGAAAATAACCCTGTGGGCAAAAGAACCAAACCAAAACTTAACTAAGGTGTAAATCCATTGTCATTCACATGAAAATAACATTTAACAACATTATTATTCTAAATATACAAAAAAAAGTAAATTTTACGATAAGAAGTAAAATATTACGATAGATATGAATTTGATATTGTAATATTTCTGTTGGCAGCATAATGTACGAGGTGTAGTATCAATGGCAAATAATGGACCAAACACAAATGGCTCTCAGTTCTTTATAACTTATGCTAAACAACCTCACCTAGACATGAAGTACACCATCATTGGCAAGTAAGTACTGCATGTATTATTAGGTTCTTAGTGGTAAAGTAATTCTTTAGTATTGTTGATTTAAAGATACACTGCCAAAAAATCTCAATATACCTCAAAAATTCAATCAAAACCTTGAATAGCTCATTTTAAAAAATCAAATAAATTAACTAACAACCAGAAACACATTGAAAAAAAATAAGGTTTCGCTGATTTACAGGTCTTTTTGTACGCAAACCTTGAATTGATTAACAGCCGATATAAGGGTCTTACAAACAAATACAGCAAAGTATTTAAGTTAACACTCCATTAATTGACAGAGACATTTATTCACATTCAAATTTTTAATTGTAAGTTAATAACTTATCTAAATATAAAAATTAAGCAATTCAAATGTGAAATAGAATTTTTTTTTTAGCACATGATAGTGCAACTTTAAAGTATATATTATGTCAGTGCATTGTGAGATGAAACATTGATTATCAACCATTGATCAAAGTGCAATAACTATTTTAGTATTGAGTGTAAACAGACAAACATGACAGGTCTGCAATCATAAAAATTTTAAATGCTGGTTTAAACATCGGTTTCACAAATCTTGTAAATCCTTTTAAAGCCTTGTTCGCACTGTATTTAAAAAATGGTAAATTTAACCAGGTAACTTTAACCAAAGTCATGGGTACATTTCACCATTGTTTCTCACTTGGATTATTCACGCGGTTAGTTTTACCATAGTTTTACCAAGATTTAACCTTGTGTATAAAAAATATTATTGAGGGCGCTAGTTTGTGACTTCAACTTCCGTGTTCCATGTTCGGATTGGACTTCTTGACCAGCGTGGATGGTTTATAATTATAATCTAATTTCAAAATGCTCCCTGTGCCCGTACCGGATCTGCCCCTGCCAATCTATTGAGAGTGTACCTATATTCCAATAATTTCTGTTTTATATTTCTATGTACAGAGTGATTGACGGATTAGATACTTTGGATGAACTGGAGAAATTGCCTGTTAATGAAAAGAACTACCGCCCTCTAGAGAGAGTTTGTATCTCAAATATTACAATTCATGCCAACCCTATAGCTGATGGAAGTATTTAGAACAGCAACATACACCAGTAAAATCATAAAGGTGCCTAAATATGTTACTAAAAATAGCATATATTAACGTAATCTCTTGGCTAAAAACAATTGCTGCAAGAATGCTATTATAGTGGTATGCGATGAATATTTATGTAGCTTCTTAATGCCAACGAGTCTAATGGATGCACAAAGCAGCTGATACAATGCAATTGTGTAAGCACAATTCAGAAAGTGCCTTTTACATATATTTAATATCTTGTAATTGTGCAAATGTGAAAGAGTAGCACAAGTTAGTGCCGTCGAACCCACAACAGGTGGAGGTAGCGCAGAGATTGGCAAAAAATTGTTCAAAGGGCTGAAGTGAACTTTTGATTGAACACTAAAGCCAGGCACTCACTGCACCCAATGATCCATTCAGACTGCCACTGAAAGCGCTCACAGGGAGCAGAATGCAGGGCGGGCGGAACGTTTTTCAAAGTGGGGGGCCCCACTCTTTCTTTTCTTGCATTTCTCTCCAGTCAAACAAAAATCTGCATAGACATTATATTCTGCCAAAAAGTGGGGGCCTGGGACCCCCCGGTTCCGCCGGCCATGGAGTGAGACGCAGTGAGTGTCCGGCTTAAGGGACACACACAAATGTAGACATTGTGACAATTTGACATTTCCAGTGTGCTTGTGAAAAAGTATATGCACTTTGTGCTCAGTTTTAATATTAATTTTTAAAATTATTGGCATTGGGTCATAACATAAAGGGTTTTTTAGCCAAATATTTTTTTCGTAGGATGGCAAAGCAAAATCTCATGAATTATTCATATCATCATAGTTAGGTGGTTAAACAAAACACTACATCTGAGTCCAAAGGTTGTTTGTTTAAGAGCATTAATGTAGGTTTATACAGAAGAACATAAGGGGTTTATTGGTTTATTGCTTTGAAAACCAGTGACAGTGGATTTCTGTTTTGAAGGAACAAACACTGGAAAAATATTACCACCCAATAAAGTCAATGTAAACATTCTTTGTAAAGCTTGATTTTCATCATTTATTTCACTTCTGTACATTTAATATACAAGAGGTACAGCAATAAGAAAGTAGTAAATGCATTTGGCAGGGTTGTTATATAATTTATAAATGAATACTGTACAACTGTCAAAAAGCCACTTCATACAAAAACACTGTGTAAATTTTAAGTCATAATAAATCTACAACAGGCAAATCCTGCTAACACACACCGACAGAAGTAAAATATTCTTTTATTAACTTGTGATGATCAATATTTTATTTTACTCCTTTCAGCATATTAAAATAAAACAAACAAAAAGACAAAATTGCAAGTAAACAAAAAATGAGGAAGGGCAAAAGCAGTATAAAAAAACTACTGTCACCAGATAGGAGGTGTGCCCCTCCAACTCAAAATAAATTCAATTAAATAAAAATAGAAGGCCAAAGTGAAATAATGGAAACTAAACTTTAATTAAATGCAATATATATATACTGTCTCTTATACACATCTAGATGTGTATAAGAGACAGTATATATATATATATTGTAAAAGTAACAATAATCACTATTATCAAAAAAAAAAAAAAGTAATTATTTATGCCTATACACTACTATTGTCAAGGATATTCTGCAAGAAGTTCTTAGCTTTCAAGTGCATAAATGCAAAGTATATAAAGTATTAAGTACAAATTAAATTTATCATCATAGATATGATCCTTTATTAAAAATAAAATAATTAATTTGGATTAGGACCGAAGGCTCTATATTTTCGATTATTTATATTGTATTTACAAGAAAACAAGAAAAAATGGTTTCTGCATAAAATAATTTTATTGATGGAATGGTGACCAGCTGCTTAAAATAGATACATAACAAGAATATGTACATACTGTATATACCGGTGGTATAATTTGATGTTTTGTAAAGGCACCTAATAAATGCCATGTATTATTATGATTAATAAGAATTTAACAACTGTTTTTACTTATAATAATTTATATCATATCAGTCCCCCAAAATGTGCAGTATATTATGATTACACAGGCCCAAAAAATTCAATGCAAGCAGTGGAATAAAATGTGATCATGCCCAGGATTAAATATATTTTTATAACAGATGTGTAGGTTAGGGATATAATGAGATTTTAACAAATGAAAGAGATTCATAGGTAGCAACTATGCCCTTCTCATAGAGTATATAGACACTGTCCTCCAAGCCAGGTATTGCTGTCATTGTACTGTAACCTGATGGGTTTGGCCAAATATTCAGGGTGTAGTTCCAAGTTTTACCAAAGTCATGGCTCCAATGTAACGTCATATTCACTCCTATTGGAATCGGAAAGAAAAAAAAAACAACCAAAATGTCAATCAAATCAGAGAACTAATCCTGTAATCTAGGGTTACAAAACAGTCGATGAGTGTGTACTTTCTAGTCAGTTTTGCAGCCCATTACTATGAATTCCATGCTATCATTTAAGGATAAATAAGGGGGAAATTGCAACATACTGTATGTACATTCAAGCAGTAGGGATAGTATTGCAAAGATTTATGCTATTATCTCCTGTTTATTTTATGCTTTTTGCATTACAGGAATGTTACCAATTGTTCTTTTTTAAATTATCTATACAGATAATAATTTGTTGCATAACTTACCATGACTAATTCAGGAATGATATTGAATAATCTTAAAAAATGTGGCAAAACTACTGGGAAAGACCAGACTAGAATTCTCCACCCCACCATACCCTTAAAAATAGAGCTCAGACTGGGCTGTTTAAATACCATTCTAATATTCTAATTTACAGTTTGTGCACAAAATCCAAAAGCTAAATTATATGTGATGGGCACCCATCAATAATCATACTTACTGTGTGTAGTGGACATGGGATTTGAGAAAAACATAACACCATTTTGGATGAGGGCTCCTGCTGCTACAGTTGGATCGATTAGGTTCTCGTCAAAATATACATCATCGAGAAGAAATGTGTCGCCACCATCAGCGCTTTTGGCAATGATCCGGCAGTGACAATGGTATTTGCCCTGATTCCTGATGTTTACTATCACTGTTCCATCTGGCATTTCCAAAGGCTGCACATGAAACAATATGATTTTCATATTATATTGAAATATGTAATTTGCTTGATAATACTGTAGTAAGTTTTTTGAAAGAAAAAAAAAACTTCAGAATACTGTATATTCACAAAAATACTATATATGTTATTAAAAAATTATAAGGACTGCATTTAATGACCTAAATAAATTGGAGATATAATTGATAATGTTAAGTTGGGCACACACTGCGCCGGACAATCTTTGGCTGATGCAATTTTATGGAGACAGCAATGTGATGAGATGTGCAGATTTTTTATGACAATTTACTCAGTCTCCCTTCGACAATCAGCAGAAGTGCTCACATACAGTGGATGTTGGTTAGTCCCTTGATGTACAACCATTGTGCAACGCAGAATGTGACCGGCTTTACCAACAAAATACAGTAAATATGAAAATCTAAGAATTGGGTATGAATAATATGAATTACCTGGCACTCATCTGGAATGAAATCACCAGACACCTTTGGTTTGTTATACGGTATACTTTTTAGCATACCACCATACCGCCATTTGTTACCATGGTCATCACTAATCAAACAAAACATACCATCACCTTCTAGAGTACCATGACCACAAACCAACAGTCGACCTTTGTACTTGCTGTTCTTTAACTGTCAAGAAAAAGCTAAAATGTTTATACCAAAGATTTCAGAAATGACAACATGTTATTAAGGTCCTCTGTAATTATTTGTATGGCTCCACATGTAAAGGTTTCAGTGCAAATTTTCAAGTTTTATCTACTGTAACTTGGTAGTGACTTGTGACATTCTGCTAGGTCAAATCCTTGTGTGAATGTTGATATAACTTTCGATTAAGAACGTAGAGAACAAGAACGCATCTATACATCCTGACTGGTGTTGCGTGCATTCTATATTACATTGTAAATAATTTTTTTAAATTTTTGATGCCGTGTACACTGAGATGTCACAAACACAAAAATACTGAGCTGACCAGAATGTAGATCTTGCCAATGACCATTCCAGATTTCAGGAGAGAATGTACGTTGACATGACTTCAATGCGTTATACATTCTAATTCGTTAGTTTTTGAAAGCTCCCTAATGTAAGGACTTTCGTAAGCGAAACTTGCAAGCAATTTTATTTATTTATTTTATTTATATATTTAGGCACACAAAACATGCACCAAGGATTGTCAATAGTGAATATCACGGTTCTACTTGTAGGTGACAATCCATTACATAAAAAAACATAAACAAACGATGCATTACACTACTAAATCACAATATGAGCTTTAGGGAGTTGAGTTGTTTTGGTCTTGAGAAAAAAATCCTGCAACACTGACAGGAATTGAACCCAGGAGCTTGGGATTGTAAGGCAAGCATCTTAACCAAACAAGCTATTACACTCCCCTATTCAATGACACACAATTGGCTGCTGTGTTTAACTTTTTGGTTTGCTTTTGGTGTACATGACTTTAGTTTTTCTTCAAGTTCTTACCTAGTAGGTTGTATATGATATTTTATAAGTCAACTGATGGATTGACTGACCCACTATCTTTCTTTAATATCATCAATCAGGGTTGATTACAATTCATGACAATAAATACTTACTTGAATACCATAGCCTGGACCTGCTGCAAATGCTTTGGTGCCAATTTGAACTGACATGTTTACTGGTTTATTCCATGTATAGCCATCATCCTCACTCTTGACATAATACAGTGATGATATATTGCACTTCTCATAATGATTACATCGACTGAACACAATAAAAATGTTGCCAAGTTCATCATCAACAACCACTGAGCCCAGACTAATCCCATCAAAAATTGATCCATCATTTTCAATAAATTGCTGTGGTTTCCAACTATAACCTAACAAGTAGAAATTAATATAATTTAATGTTTTGAAAGGTTGTACAGTTAGCTGTAAGGTGGGTGTATCTTGCGAGACAAAAGAGGCAACTTCCAGATTGAGGTTTAATCTTCAGATTCAAAAAAAATTTTACTGCAATTTCTCGTTAATTGATGACATAATACAAAATAGTATACAAATTGAGATTAACATTCAATTAATGTATGTATTATTACTACTATAATGTATGTTTATGACAAAAATTTTAATTTTTTTTTGTTTTATTGCAGACAATAAATGTTATCTTGAATCTTCAATTTATTTACATTAGAGAGGCTGGGATGGGGGAAATAACTCAACCAAAGTCTACTACCATTAGGTATAGATGCAACCAAGTTGGCGCCCAGCAATCCTGGATCACCTGCTGGTGCTGCCACTGACTTGTTTAATGCCTACCTTTATCATTTGATCTTCGGATTGCTAAGAACTTTGATCCAGCATCTGATGTGTCGTATTTCCTAGCTTCAGCCATGGCAAGTAAATTCTTTTGTGGAGTATAAGTTAATAAAGGAATGCGATAATGGGAAACATCACCGTCTCCTGCTATCCATATTTTCTCTTCTAATGTGACCATAGGTTTTACCTGAATAAACATTCATTAAAACTATGTTTGAGAATATTATTATTCATCCAAGTATATATATATATATATATACAGTAATATAAAATAATTGTTTTCAATTGGACATTTATTTTCACATCAAGTAAGTCCAGTTGAAAATATTTATTTTATATTATATTTACCAAAACTAATTAGTCTTGATTTCATGATGATGATACAGTTTATAATTAGGTTGGGATGCATTCTAACCAATTAAAATTAATTACAAAGTCAGTGTAACTGTTCTGGATGTAAGTTTTTAAACTTTTTAGAATTTTATTTTACCTATAGGATGTGCAATTTAGTATCTGTATTTTTTAGATGCTGGCTATTTTTATTATAATAAAATGTCATTTTCAAAATGTTAAATATTAATATTTTTATCCGTAGTTACTTTATGTGTAATTTAGGACATCATTATGATTTGGAAATAGGCTGGATTACTTTTTTTTCTTCAATCAATCATCAATCAATCAATCAATCAATCAAATGTGCATTTTCTATATTTACTGATAAATAAAATATTAAAAGTCATTGTCTAGCCTAATACTTAGTCATCCAGAGCCTAGCTGGCCTATGCTAGCAAATTCAACACTCTAGGCCTAGCTATCTCTCCAGTAATAGTATTTCACCAGTTGATTTCACTATAACTAGGCTCCAGGCTAGAATAGTAAAGCAACACTCCTTCCTAGGCCTACTAGCTATCTAATCCTTACGCTTACGAAGTCACGCACAGTCACAACCCAACAGACAGAAAAAAGGGATTACCAAAAACAGTTTTACCTGTGTACTTGAATACGAAAGCGTGTTTACTTCTACATAAAGGTTCAATACAATTAGTATGAAAAACATGATTTTGAAGTAAGGTTTTCTTTTGACAACGTCCATTAGTTAGGCTTAATAAGCAGACATACACAAGACACTTCAAATGACTGACGACTGGCTGATGTTCAAAACAAAGAGCACGTGATGGTTTCATCACGTGACTTACAATTCGAACTATGGAACGCCGGGAGTGTCTTCAGCGAGTATTGCAACAAGATAAAATTTCATTTCATTTTCATTCAGCAGGTGACCAAATGAGCAATGCTGTGATCACATTTATACTGCAGTGCAGTGACCACACTTATGCTTCATTGACCAAATTGATGCTGAAGTGACAGTTTTTAAAACTTCGCAAGTGACCAAATTTATGATGAAGTACGGAGCCCCTATTTTTTCTAACCATGTCCCTTTAGGGGCTCCGTATCATTAGAATTAACAAGACTAAAAAACATTCAAAAAAGTATATTTAATTCTCTGATCTATAGTTTAAGAAACGTTTGAAAATAATATATTCAATGCCACCAAGAATGCTCTATGCAATTCAATTTGAATATAATCGTATCCGCTTTCAACACAGCCTGTGTTACCCACTTTGCCTCCGCTATCATCGAAAGTCAAATGCAATGCAGTCAGTCTCGTGTATAGGGTGATGTATGCAAATTAGGCTTCCAGTGTGGCTTAAGCAATGGCCTTTATTTTGATTAGTTGGACCTAAGCAAACTTCCCTCTTACCAACCATACACTAGGCCTGCCATAATTTTCTAGTGGTATTTGTAACGACAGACTTTCAGTACAAATGAATTGATGGCTACACTATAAGTGCTGTAAAAAAAAAAGGAAAAAAATCCACACTGATGCCTCCAAAAACAATATCTCAACAGTGCTATGCTATATATTTTATTTTCATTTATTTTATTTTAACTGTCACATCTTTCGGATCACTTTCAAGTGATTTTGAGCGAATTTGCTCTCTTTGGAGGCTCCACCACCCACCCTCTATTTCAGATGCGTGTATTCGCAATGTAAATTAATAGCTTAATTATTCAAACAACAATAACAATAATAAATTATTTTTTTATTATTTTTATTATTATTATTATTATTATTATTATTATTATTATTATTATAAATCGTCGTCGTCACATTTTCAATGCACAGTTGGAAAAGTAAAGTGACTTGTGATTTTTTTTCAACGTAAATTAGCTTTTACATATTTTTTACTGATTGTTTATGCTATAATTAAGCTGTGAAGTTCAGTTGAACATAAGGTACATGCTCGATTGTATAAACTTCAGTTACTTTATGTTTTTTAATGAATGCGAGATATATAATAATTTTTTACGCTTTGGTAAGATAAATGAAGATACCAAATGGGTCATCATTTTTAATGGCAATATGAATTTTCTTAATGAGATCGAGTACAGCCATATAAGATAAAATGTCCTTAAGAAAGCCATATTTGCAATTATTGATGATGTTTTATTTTTCAACAAACGCTTAATATCTGTTATAAACTATTTGTTCAAAAATCTTAGAAATAGGAGGCAATATAT